AAGCTGTAGAACAATAAACGAAGACTCGCTTATCACTGACCAGCACTCGCTGTTGCATCTGATCAAATGACGAACGCACGAGTGTGAACGAGTGCATATACCGACAAGCAGTACAACGATTATTGATACTAAGACGTTGCCTCGGCGTGGCATATCAACGGTGTAGGCTTTATCAGATTTCGTCAAGTTTTTTTTTTATTTCTGCCGATTTGGGTTTTCCGATTTATTATTTGTTTTTATATTTATATTTCTCATTTATTTTTATTATTTTCTATTTGCTCAAGCTGCCAAGGCAAATACCTGCCGCTTGCAGTAACTATCTAACCTTAGATGACTTTTGTGCAACCCCCAAACGACTGCTCCCAAATTCGACGCAGTCGAACGCTGCCCCATCAACGTCACATTGGTAGATTTTTTATTGTTGCTTCTGTTTGCTGATCAACTGCAGTCGGCCGCATGATAAGGTCATATTACACTGTACTTCCAGCATTTGATTCGTTAAATGCTTGTGACTACTGGTTTTTGGCCACCGTCGTTACTCGGCTGCTCCTACCGCACCCGCCACCCCACTGCCTCTGTCGTTTATCGCGCGTACTGACTTTCGTCCACAACTGTTATTACCACGCATTGTTGTTGTCGGACTTAAGTTGCTTTGGCTTAACACTGCTCACTTGTTGAACCGCTCTGTGGGACTGCTCAGTTTTTTGTTAGCTTTTGTTTTCCTTCGAGCATAATATTTTTATAATATTTTCACGCATTTTACGATTTGATTGATTGCCATCCAATATACCGATCATTACTTCGGTTACGTGAACTTTGTGTTCTGTGTTGATAAAGTTGTGTTGTTTAAGGTGTAGACAAACGGCCGCCTGTGAGCAAAGTATGGATCCGATGGAAAAATACTTAGCCACAACTCGCTTCAATTACTGTACCATAGCTGCCTAGAACGTATAAAGACAGAGTCAAAGAAGTGAATATTTATACCCAAGTTGAGAGTTTTTTAGACTCTAGAAGAAAAACGATAGCTTAATGTGATCTGCTAAAGCTTTCAGTTGCGAGAAGTTCTGAACTTTCAACAAGTCTAGTAACAGTACATACGAGTAAAGAGCTCGAGCGATCTGAAGATGCGTCAAACACTCCCATTTACGTAGGCAAAGGTTTGGTAAAAATATTAGAGAGATTTTGAGAAAGCATACAGCTTTCAGGAAGTTATCGAACTATCGAACAAATCAAGTAACAGTATATACATTTATACGAAAAATCTGAAATGACCAAAACAGTGCCTATGTAGGCAAAGCAGATCCGTATTAATTATTCGTCTCTGCTTCACATTATCAGCTCCGTCCAATAGATGTTGCAGAACAATTAAGAATTCTGAGAGATACTTCAAGTATTACTAAGTAGCAGAAAAGCTCGAATCGCGTAATAGCGATTTTAATTAGTTGGCATCTGGACGAAACCGGATTATATGCATTCAAGGATACTAACTTTACAGACTACTTTAAAACTACAACACAGCAATGTCTCTGCTAGTTACGATAACTGGTTAGCATATCTATCGATCGCTAAATATTGCTATGCTCAGATCTACAGGAAAGCTCGCAGCTGATTTCAACTAAAGAACTTCTGTGCTGTCTTCATATTACCACTACAGCTGTATGTAGTAGGCTTAGAAAGTAGTAGCGGAAGTAAGACAGACAAGCACTCTACTAGCTAGGCGTGGAAAAGCTGTGAGATTGTAGTTTAAGAACTGCCTAAAGCTTGTCTATGTTTTTTTTTAATTTTTATTTTTTATTATTTTTTTGTATTTTTTTTTTTTATTAAGGTCGGTGGATGTGCTAGAAAGCTGGAAATAGATGTGTTTGCAAATAAACCAAGCAAACGAAAGCAGTAAGTATCGCTTAAGCGCGATTATCAGTCAGTTTCTATCAGTTAGAGATGAGCTTACTCTTCGACAAACCGCGCAAATGAACCAGCGTCATTCCCATGACAGTCGGGTCATGTCACCGGTACAGAGCCGGATTTTAACCGTACATGGACTCTTAGCTCGCAGCATTCTTCAAAATTATCATGCAATTATTAACATAGCGCATCTTTGAACAATTGTTTCTACCGATACGCGTCTATCTTACTTCCAAAGCGCAATGTCCATATTTTTGCAAATAATGAATAATTTACGCAACATACGCAGTTCATAAATTCCTCATTTCTAATCATTAATCTCAGCATAAAATAGCAAACATTAAAAATAATTACTCGCTAGATTATGTGTCGCTTTGTCGAAAGGCCTTATGGGCAGCGCCAAAATCACATAACATCACATAAATCGACACTCAAGTGGCCACTTCAGAAAACAGCGTACTGGCGAAGCTCGTGGAAGACGAAGCGTAGCATTCTACAAACTACAATTACAACTCTGCAGCGCCGCAGCAATGTTTTTCTTGTTGTTTCGCGGAAAAATGTCGCTTGCTATGTCAGTTATTAGATTTGTGTCAAAGCTGTTGGCATGTAAATGATTACAGTTATGCGACTGCCACAGAGATAAAGACGTGTGCAGTGTGCTGCATTTGGGGCGACTCACGCAGCTGCGTATGATGTTGTGGGAGTAAAGCTTGAAGCGGCTGCGTTGGCTTCATAGTGACTTGCAGAATATAAAATGAAGCTTTTAGCAAATATTGAAGACTTTAAGCAAAATGGAGTTAACGGCACGCGATGTAATTCGTCTACAGCTCGCTAATTTATACGCTCTTATACTAGTTATTGCAATGTAGCAAAATTCCATATACTAACCCATCATGAATACCCTCACTGTACTTTCCATATCTATCACGGCATGCCTAGCAAAAAAGATAAAAATGCGCTGACACGTAATGGAAAATCATGAAATTTGTTTGCTAAGTCAAGTGCATTTTGCCGTTCTCCGTATTATCTACAAGTTTTTTTTGCGCGGCAATTTTCAAATACATTGAATACTTACTTCAGGGCTATGCGCTAATAACGACAACATTGTTTGAAAGCCAAAGATTAGGCATAGCTTTTGTTGCAATGGAATTTCTTGTTATGAAAATGCCGACAAAAATGTAAATAGTATTAAATTTATAACTAAAAAAATATTTTATTAGAAAGCTTTTATATAAATACATACAAATACATATAAGTAGAATTCTTTATTTTTTTAAATTTTTAAAACAAAAAATTGTTTGGAGTTTGTTTTTAACTTTCGATACAAAAAATAAACTTTTTGGACGCTTGGAACCACTGCTCGCTGTACGCTGTCAACACAATGTATAAGTATAACATAACTGAATTTGCTTCACACACTCGATCTGCCGTTTGTTTACCCACGTTCGCAGTCGATCGTATATCAAATTATATGTTGTTCTACATGTGTTGGCCACTCGTTGTTCGAGTTGTTTGTTGAAGTGCGTTTGTCTTCTCGCATAGTTTCAATACTCAATTGGAATTCGCCATAATGCGCACGATAACCGTTTTTCTATGGATTTTGATTTATGGAGTATTTTGATTGTATTAAGTGGTTAGTCTACTTTAGGAACTTAAGTAGGGCGATTTACGGTATAGTAAGCCACTTTTAAGCTCAACAATAATGCACTTAAGCAAGAGAGGATTTTTTACTATTAGATTATTGATTAGGTAAGTGGTGTGACATGAGCTTTTATCGATTTGCGAGATCTGCAAAAATGATGAGAAATGTTCTTCATGTGTGTGCTTAAAATTAGCATTTTAATTGCGTGCTAAATTATTAATCAGCTTTCACTATAAAATTTCAAATACAATAGTTTTTAATAGTAAATGTACGAAAATTATTTACGGAGCTATCTATATAGTTTTGTTATTAATAATTGTGCCAAAAATAGTCTCAAGATTACCTTTTCTACAGGTTTTCACTAGAAAGCAGCCTTTAGTATCAAAGCATCACTAGAACTAGTAGTGTTAGCAGCAAAATTTGCCTTTTTTAAACAAATATTGATTTATTTTCACTGTATATAAAAAATGCCAAAGCTTTTATAGTTTCATAGCTCTCTTCATAATAAAATGCCGTGAGATATTTGTGAGCTTTTGTTTAAGTTTCCGCATTCTGAAAGTTTTGACATGATGATTTTGTATCCGTTTCCTCTAAGCGCCTTTTGCAAAGCTCACAAAGTGAGCTGGTGTAAAAATTTTGAATTTCAGAGAGCTTTCATACGTAGTTCTCATGGGAAGCTTTCACAAAATTACTCTAACAAGCTTTCTACAGCGAAAAACGAGTTTTAACGCTGGTTTCAAAAAGCTTTTTACAATCAGAACACTGCTCATAACAAACGCGCATGAAATATTTGTGAGCTTTGGCTTAAATTTTCGAATTTCAAAATGATGGATTATTGCAAAACTAATTGCAAGGCTCACAAACTATGCTGGTTTAGACATTTGAATTTTAAGAGCTTTCATACGCAGTTCCCGTGTGCAGTTTTAACAAAGTTATTCTAACAAGTTTTCATTGACGCTTGAGCGAATTTCAGTGGCAGTTTCAAAAAGTTTTTAAAGCTTACACGCATAAAAAGGTTCAGCAGCTTTTGTTGCTCGCAAATTTCGTCATTATTTTCAAAGATAAACGCAATTTTTTAAAGATTTTTTATAGAGCTTTTACAAAATTAAAGCTCACAGTTCCGAATTTTGGCGTATACAACTTTTAGCAGCTTTAGAACTTTCGCATTTTCTTCGCATGTTTTACGTTTAGGCATTTTAGTGGCAGTTTCAAAAGCTTTTTAAAGCTTTCAGAGTACAAAATGTTCAGCAGTTTAAGCATTCGTATGCGTTCGGCTATACATATGTTTTAAGGACTTTTATTAGCCGATCGTTTGTATACTCACCTTAAAAACAGTTTTGGCAAATGAATAGAGCTCACCATTTGTTTTTTGTTTTTTATTTTATTATTTATGCAAAATATTTCGAAAAAAGAACACAAAAAATTCGAAAGAAAAAATTTGTTGTATGTTACTTTGTTTTTGTTTTGGTTTTGTTGTTGTTTGTTTGTTTGTTTTGTTTTTTTTTTGCTTTTTGTTGTTTTCTCTTCGCTGCGGCACCACTGTGCGCCCTTTGCTTTACACTGTGTGTATACATATGTGTGTGTGTGTGTCTGTGTGGGTGTTTAATAATGCATTTTGTTGTTGTTTTACTATTTTTTCTAGTATTATTGTTTACACTGAATTTAAATTACCATATTTTCATACAATTTTTCCACTTATAGTTTTACCACTTAAAGACTTTTGTGTTTTGCTTTTAAATACTTAATAAACCATTTTTTTTTCTTTTTTTGCTAATTTCTTTGAGTGTACGCGCGACATTGCCAGTTTGTTTTGCTTTGTTTTTAATTTAGCGCGAAACATCAACTTACGTTAGTTACATAATCTCTTGCATTTTACTTTAAATTACATGGTACGCTTGCTGGGCGTAGCTCTCCGCATTTTGCGCTGAAACATTTTACAATTACAATTACAATTACTTGCTGCATTACAAACATAAATACTACAATACATACAAGCGCATGCGCGGGTACAGTGGGCAATTGTGTTGATTGCCTGACACGGTTGCAAGTGGGAGTGTGGTGTGGAAGTGGTTGTCGGTTTGCTTGCGTTAGAAAATTTCGAAAATATGGACTAGTTGAAAGAAAAATTTATACTTTTTTTTTGTTAGTTTTTCGCTCAGTGTATTTGCAAATTTTGTCGCATTTTATAACATTTATGGTCAGTTGCTTGCCGGTTTTATGGCATGTGTTGGCTCATATGGTTTTTCGCTACGTTTTTGGCAAAAAAGTTTGCCAACTGTTTGTAAATTAAATGTTTTTTGTGGCGTTTCCTGTTTTGTTCCTGTAGTTTTGGTTTTCCTTACTGCTCGTGGTGCTGGGCATGCATTAGCTATTGTTGGTTGTGGACTCGTTTTTTTGTAGTGTTGCTGTTCATGTGGTTGTTGTTTTGCTTTTTTAAATATAATATATTAGCGTACAATTATTGTTGCAATTACAATTGTCATTGAGTACATTCACATATATATGTATATATATAATATTTATTTTTTGTTTGTTTTAATTTTACTTTAAATTTAATTTATATATATAATTTTTGTTTGTTCTTGACTTTCTATGCAATAATATATAAGAATTAAGTATTTAATAAATGTATTTGTTGCAATGTGAATTTTTTGCTGCGCATTTAACGAAAAAGAGAAAAAAGTGGAATGAGTGAAAATGCGTAAAAAATATTTATTATTTTTTTTTGTTTCTTAATTTTTAAATTTTTTTAAAATTTTTGAAAAATTGAAATTAAAATAATTTTTTTTTTAAATATTAAATTTTAAAATTTTTTTTAAATAATAAAAATTTTTGTATTTTAAGCATGTATTACAAATAAAAGTTTGTGGTTTTTGTGGATAGGGAGCGCGACGTCGATAAACAGTTGCGAGCTTTTATACTTATTTATTTATATATATTTTTTTTAATTTTTAAATACAGCTTACACGCTGTAAATTACGCAACTTACTTTTTTTACTTTAAATTACTTGCTGATATTTGCTTTTTATTTGTAATTTTCTTATTCTTTTTCTTTTTTGCTTTATTTTCTTTTTGTATTTCTTTGATTTGTGTCTTTCTCTTTTATTTGCTTTAATTTTTTTTTTTTAATTTTATTTGCATTTTTTTAAGTGTATTTTTTACTTTTTTATGTTTAATTCACGCAGGACGGGGTTTTTGCTTACAATTTCTTCATTTCATCAGCTGTTTGTAGGCATTTTTATGTTTGCTTTATAAAGTTTTTAAATTTATTTCTACGCTTTTTCTCTTCGCTAATTGTCAGTGTAAATATCAATTGTTGCGGTTGTTGTTATTATTATTTTTTGGTTTTTGCTTTTTGCTTTTTATTTCTATATATTTTAAATATATATATGTATATATGTATGTATGCATGTATGTGTTATGGTTTGCTATATAATAAATGAACAGAAAAATATTTAAGCTTTGACTAGGTTTTTGGTTTGCTTAGCATTTCTTTACTTAAACGCTTAGAGTTGCATTTAATTAACGCGTTTGTTAAGAATTTGTAGTTGTTTCGCAATTATAGTTTCGTTTTATTTATAAATAATTTGTTAGCAATATTTATGCATAGGGTATTTGTTGTAGAGTTGTTGTGTCTTCGCTATTTTGTATACTGTTTTGTGTGTGTGTGTTATTGTTGCCTGCTTGTTAGTGGAGTATTTTGGTTTTTTGCGAACCGCGTAAGGCGGTTGAGAATTGCAGATTATAATGCGCAAGTGATGAGCGCGCATAGTAATGCTGTGTGACACTCTCTGCTGCTCTCAATTGCTCAACTCTGCGCGTGCGAGTGAGAGAGCGCATTGTGATTAAAGCCGCGCAGCTGCATAAACAGTTATATATTTTTTGATTTAGCTTACAATTCTCAACCGTTTTATGTTGCTTATTGGTGCTTTACCTCTCGTTCTAATCAATTTCATCATTCAAAATGAAAATAATCTGTAAAGTACAACGCAAAAAAGGTTTTCAGCAATTAAGTAATAAGTAAACAGTTAACATATCTGTAAACAAGTGTATAGTGTTCAAGTACATACATATAGGTATGTAGACATATGTAAATGTAACGCAGTCAAATTGAAACACTTAATTATTTTTTTGCTTTATATTTTTTACTACATTTACACGCTTTATCTCGCTTACTTATGCGCTTCCTTAGTTTCAAGTGTTGATTTAGCGTCTGATTAAATTTGCACAAATCTTCAAAACTGTCTTTCTCAAGTTAAAGTCATTAAATTATACAATTAAAACACTAAATTAAATATACTAAATGCTAAAAACTATTATTTAATAATATAATGGAAATGTGAAAATTGTTATGAATTGCATTTTGCTTTGTTCGCTTTGTTTTCTCGAGTTGTGGCATTGCTTTGTGTGTTCCTTATCACTTTAAACGCTGATTTGTAGACACCTTGCCTGGGCGTGACCACTGTAATCAGCTGGCAACGGCAGGCAATGCGTGTTAAGTGGTTTGCTATGCGCTGTAATACCGCCATTCGTGCTTATCAGTGGGTGGAGCCACTAACAGCAAACTACAAAACGCTTGTTTTCTTCCACTAGCGCTCTTGCGTAATACAAATTTGTGCGCTGTGAAAGCACACAAAATGGTTTTACGTTTTATGGCAGCAAGTTTGACGATGTGCGTTTTAAAAGCTCTTTAATAAACAAACGTGCGTGCTTTCACGCTAGTAATAGCGCATGTAGCTTACAGAAATTCCTTGTTTTTGCTTAGTTTGCGCGGTTCTTTTGATAATTTTTAACAAATCTTCAATGAAGGCTTAGAAAACTTTCACTCTTGTTGCATAATTTATTATTTTTGTACAAAATTGTAAGCTCGCTAAGTTGTTGCATACTTTTATCGCTTAGTATTGAGCGCGTGCATGGAAAGCTCGTAAGCTCTTTAGCTAATTTTGCACTATTTAGACTAGCGCAGTCTACCACTCGTTTGCTGTTTATGTTTGAAAATTTGTGTTAAGTTCACTCAAAACGCTCGCACTTAACAAGCTTTTGTGTTTGTCTGCTTGTATAGTTTATTAATGTATTCTATGTCTTTCTATGTTTTCTATGTTTTTCTATGTCTTTCTATGTTTTTTTATGTCTTGATTATAAGAATAGCAGCAGGCGTTTTATATAGTTATGTATGTATACATATGTACTCATGTTTTATGCGCTCCATTTCATTACCTTCAGCTTTTGCGTTCCATTTATATATACATATATTTGTATATATATAGATATATAGAGAATTCTTAACCAGCTAATGCTAAACACTTGTTTAATCATATTCATTCTTACAGCGTCTTAAGGGATTAATGAAAAGCAGGCGATTGTTATTTTTGTTGTATTTATTTGTTAGAAGTAGAGTGAGTGAAAGTTGCTTTTTATATTTATGTATTTATAGGTGTGGTGAGCTTTTTAAAATTTCTATTCCTTTTTCACAAAAAAAAAATACACTTAATTTAATTTTATAAATTTTATTCACCAAAATTCATTTCATTAGCGCAAACTTTCTCTTCCCGCGTGTGTGTGTGTGTGTGTGTGAAAATATCCATACTTATTGAGTGAGACATGTTTTTGTTAACTGTGAAAAGCTTTGGGCGCTGTAAGCAGCAATAACAATGGAAGCTTATGCTTGTTGTGAGCTTTCATGCAGAACTTTGAGAGCTTTTTAACAATTGATTTGCAAAGCTTTCACTTTTTTTGAAAAACAAGCTTGAGTTATCATTGCTTGTCTATTAAGTGCCCAACGCCTTTATGTTTAAATATTTCTCACAGTTAACAAAACAGCTATAGAACGCTTTCTATATGGCTATATTGTTCAGTGCATTTCATTTCAAGCTGTATGTGCTTGCAAAAACTTTTCTCAATTACAAATTATTTCTTTTACTGCAAAGTTTTTTGGTTTTTCGCTAACTAATTCTTTGTCTTCAATAGCACTTATTGTCTACATTTTGCAATTATTTCTTGATCTTCACTTTATGTACGGTTTTGAGCGCTTTGCTTTCCTCTCTCTCAGTTTGACTCACTTTTTTTTTATTATAAACTCTCAGTTCTCGCCTCTCATTCAGTAGTTTTTGTACATTTCTTTTGATTAATTAATCTGTTGTGGCTTTGGTGCGCTCTCTCTCTCCACCAGCCTTTCAGCAATTGCATACAACTGTCTCGCTTAGTAATACCATACTCACAATAGTTCATTGAGTTTTCTCCTTTAACCTCTCTCTTTCTTTATCTCTCTGCTTACTCTGTAGTCGTTGCAATTATAGGCGATTCCGGTTCACACCTCCCAGCCACCTGCAAGCTTTAAGCTCAGCTCTTAAAATATTTTCACACACTTCTCACACTTACCTCTCTTCACCAATTTACTGTTATTTCAAACTTTCTTTTGCGCAACAAATGATTTTTGTTTATGTTAAATAAAAATTGCTCACATCTGCATTTGCAAAATTTCGCATTCCACTTTTTGCTTAAAATTAATTTGCTTTTTCTGCTTGTCCTTTTATTTACTTAAATTTTAATACATTTTACTTTAAGTTTTTGTTACTCTTTATTATTACACATAATTTTTTGGTTTTTAATTAATACTTTCTAAACAAGAACAACATACTTTTTGTTTTTGAAATGTCGTGTATGAAAGAATGTTGAATAATTTCGAGTTATTTCTCCCATTGTTGGAGTGTGAAGTTTGAGTGAGTGTGTTGGCATATTTTTGGTGAGTTTGTGTGTGTGTGTGAATGGGGTATGTATGAAAGTTGTATGTGTTTGTGAGTTTGAGTACAATTATCGAGCTGAAAGCTTTGTTTTTTGAGCTCATTTTTTATTTTCAAAATCTCTTTTTATTTTCGCTGCACATTTCAAAAGTTCGTCACATTTTTTTGCGCTTTGAGTTTTACTTTTGCCTCTGCTCCTTTATTTTTTCGCTTTTACTATTTGCATTTATTACAGTTATTATTTCTTTTACCTTTGTTACGCTTTCACTCTCCTTCTACTCTTTCTACACACATTTGTATGTATGCAATGTTGGAACTGCGCTCCGTTTTGTTTTAATTTTATCTGCTTAAAATTAGTTTCAAGATTTTTTACGTTTACATTATTTGTTTTTTTTTTTTTGGAAAATATGTTTGTTTGTATAATTCACGGGTTTGTGGTTGTTGTTTTTTGGTTTTTTGTTTCAGTATGACTTATTTGTTGTATTATTCTTAGTTGTATGTATAAGTGGGTAATGATGATAAAGCAGGCTTTTTATAGTGGGAGTTTATTTATTTTTATTTTTTTAAGGGGTAGGGGGCGGGGCTTACGCTTCCTTTAGTGGGTTTACTGAGTTGTTGAGTGCGTTTACAATATTTGCAAATTTATTCTTATTTTTTATTAAGTTTATATGCTTTTGTTTTGCTTCTTTTACTCCTTCACCTCGAAATATTTGTATGTGGGGTTTTCATAACCGTTGATTTGCATGTTCGCCACGATTTTCTCCTCCGGTACAACGGGATGGTGTGTGGTGGCGTTCTAGAAATGTGAAAGCGTGTAAGTAAATCAACTGCATGAGATTAAATGCTATTAAAAACGTGTAAAATGCAGAACATATTATTGAAATTATCTGCGTAAGTTAGGAAAGCTTTGTCGAAGCTTTAACACAACTTTCGCTCAGTGAAAGTTGCTGCTTTGTACGATTTCATTTCAGTGTTCGCCAAAAAACTGTAAGCAGTTAGAATTGACACTATTATGTAGATACTTAAGTTTTGAAGTGTATTAAACTCGGTTAGAACACGCAATAAACAACCATTTTGTTAAAATAATAAATAATTAAACGCCAGTATGCTTCCAGTATCAAACGCGTTTGCTGCGTTGCCAATTTTCTTCAAAATTTTCTGTCGCCAGTCTGGAGCTTATGCGCATGTACTCAACTTACCTGATCAACTTCAATAAAGCCCTGCGCATGTGGCGAGCGAGATGTTCTCCACTTGGCCACTGCGACACCAACAAAGATGGCCGCTAGCAATGCAATGCCAGCGAAGGACAAAGTGAAGTAGACATTGCGTCCCTCCTTGTTCGCGTGCGTATGTGCGAATTCGCGACGCAGCGAGAAGCTCTGCAAAGAGTGCGTATAAAAACTTACTACATTTCGTATAAAGTATAAAAAAAGCTACTTTACCGATTCGCGATGACCCAAATCGTGCGACATGAAATGTTGCACCTGTGGCTCAGCCTCTTGGTGAGCGACAGCGGCGGCTACATCCTCTACGGCGCGCTGTACGGCATCGTCATCGACTGTGGGCAGGACGGTTTGGGTTTTGGTGCTGTACATAAGTAAAAAAGGAAATTTAGAATATTGTTGTGCATGAACTCGTGGCTGGATATGCATACTACGCACCTGACAGTGACATCGGCGTACTCCTCAACGCCAGTGCTGTCCTTCTCACTTTGCGCCAATTTAGTGGGATCTGTAAGTTGGCCCATTTCTTTGCTGCTCACCTTCGAGTCGCCTAGTGCTGCAGCGGAGGAGGAGCCTAAAATAGCGGAGCCAGCACCACTGGCGCCGCCATCCTGCTCGGCTTGCGACTTCAGCAGCTCATCAACCTTCTTGGCCTCCATGCGCAACTTCTCTTCACGCAATTTCTCACGTTCAGCGGCGCGTTGCTCCTTGCGCTGCTTTTCAGCCAAACGTAGACGTTCCTTCTCCGCCACCTTACGCTCGATCTCAACGCGGTATTTGTCCAAAATGGCGGCCTCCGCTTCTTCGCTCATGCCCAACGATGAGCCGGGTATGTCGTCCTTGCTGCGGAGCGCCAAAATGTAGTCGTTCATCAATTGGGAAATCTTAGCAGATAATTCGGGGTAACGTTTCAACATGGTCATAGATTGGTTGACGGCGCGATCGATATCGATGAGACGTTCCAAAGTGCGTGGTCGCTCCGAGGCAGCAGCTTCCAAACCGCCTGGACCGCCGGAATTCAAGAGATGACGATAGTGGGCCAAGGCATGGGCACGATCCTTGTGCAAGGCGCGCAAGAGCTTCTGCAGACACTTCTCGACGTGGTGAGCCTGTAAATAAAAGAAGTGTTTCAAGTAGGCAGAATGTATGAGCAGCTCTAAATTGTGTGTTTCAACTCTGGGCTTGCGGATCAGCCACGTATTGGTGGATAACTCACATTTGGTGGCTGTTCGGTGAGCGCTTGAGTGTAGCAGGTCATCGCTTCACGTTTGCGCTGATTGATGTGGGCCAATACGCGTTGCTGATGCATGGCAGCCAACTGATGCTTCTCGGCGTTGCCTTCCTCCTCGAGTGCCTGAACAGAAGTCTAAAATTACATTCCCATATAAAGACGTATAGCACATCAAGAGAGAAAGAATCAATCAGAGAGAAGAATGAACGAATTGCAATTTTGTTGTGGGGATTGATTGGTTGATTTTCGAATTTTGCAGTGGTGGGGAAAGTTTTGAGTTCTTGAGTTAAATCAAAACAAAAAAGGGAAAATGTTTGTGATGATTTTACGGTGGTGGTGTTGGCATAGTGAGTTCTGATGAATGAATACGCTACGTAAACTTCAAACTAGGTCGGTTCTCAAGCATCTGAAGTGAGTGATGGCAAAACGACGTAGGAAACTTTTTTAGTATCAGCGTAGGATGCGACTTCTAGGGCTCTACAAGGATAGTGTGATTTCTAAAAGCTCACACCATTTCACTTTGATTATATATATTACATTGGGATCTTCCGTACACATTAAGAAATAAGAGAGAAAGCTGTCTATCGTATTAAATGAACTGCATCGGCAGACTGCGATGCTTGCTTAGAGCTCTCAAAAAGCTTAGAATTTGTATAAGTTAATAACAACTTTCCAGAATTTATTATTTAAATATTATAATTAGTGAAGCAAAAAGCTATCTTCTTCGCGTAAACACCCCAAAAATAGAGCTTTCAAAAAATGTCTATATCTCATTATACGAAAGCTCATAACAGCTTTGCAGAAGTGTTGAAAATTAGCGATGTGAAAAGGCTATCTCATTTTTAGTGTGAAATTTTTAAAAAGACACTCTTTAATATAATTTCCCGAAAGCGTCGTTTATTTG